TAGAGCGTCAGCCTGCGGACTCAAGGGTCCCAGGTTCGACTCCGGTCAAGGGCATGTACCTGGGTTGCGGGCACATCCCTACTGGGGGCTGTGCAGGAGGCAGCTGATCGATCTCTCTCATTGATGTTTCTAACTCTCTATCCCTCTCCCTTCTTCTCTGTAAAAATTCAATAAAATATATTTAAAAAAAAAAAAGAAATAATGACAGAAAACTTCCCCTACCTGGTGAAAGAAATAGACCTACAAGTCCAGGAAGAGCAGAGAACCCCAAACAAAAGGAATCCAAAGAGGGCCACACCAAGACACATCATAATTAAAATGCCAAGGGCAAAAGACAAAGAGAGAATCTTAAAAGCAGCAAGAGAAAAACAGTTAGTTACCTACAAGGGAGTACCCAGACGAACAGAATAAACTGGTGAATGTAATAGAATCAGGGGCATGGAAAGGGAGCGGACTGACAATTCTCAGGGAGAAGGGGGTGTGGGGGGTGCGGGAAGAGATTGGACAAAGATCTTACACCTATGGACGAGGACAGTGGAGGGGGGGCGAGGGCCTGGGGTGGGGTGGGAACTGGATGGAGGGGAGCTATGGGGGGGAAAAAGAGGAACATCTGTAATAATCTGAACAATAAAGATTTTTAAAAAAAAAAGAATATGGCAATAAAAGACCTGGTTTCTATGTCTGGCTTTGCCACTGACTATCTGGGAGATCCCAGATAAGTCACATGACCTCCCTGGTCTTAGTTTCCTCCTCTATAAAATGAGGAGGTTAGACAAGATAATCTTTCCCTGGGCCCTCCTTGAATTACAACACCCAAATGGAAAACAGAGCTGCTGAAGAAAAAAATAAATTAAGCTCAGGCTCCATTGTAGTTAGAGAATACATCTCTGTCCCACATAAATATAAATTTTTAAATATTTTCCATGAAGAAAAATGCTTTAGGGCATTCGCTTCAGGAAACAAAGCTGACTGCTATGCCATCACTAACTGAGAAAGAACTAGAGAAGGAGGAAGGTGTATCAGAAGGAATAAAAGAGACCTGACCTTGGTTAGGCAATGAGGGATTGCAACAAGACAGAATCGAGCTAGAAGGCATAAGCCAGGGCAAGAAAACAAAACCAAGGGCAAAGGAAAATGCTCTTAGAACAAAGAATATGATAGCAAGCAAGATCAGAAGGCAAAATAGCTAAGAGCATACGTTACATTTTCTTTGTATCCTAAAGTAATGGGGGAAGTGGTAAATACATGCAGCATCTGACAGCAGCAGAAGCAGCAGCTAAAGAGGTGAGAGGAGCTTCTAGTTGCAAACTTCTAGATCAGTGGTTCTCAACCTTCTGGCCGTTTAAATACAATTCCTCATGTTGTGACCCAACCATAAAATTATTTTCGTTGCTACTTCATAACTGTAATGTTGCTACTGTTATGAATCGTAATGTAAATATCTGATATGCAGGATGGTCTTAGGTGACCCCTGTGAAAGGGTCGTTCGACCGCCAAAGGGGTCGAGACTCACAGGTTGAGAACCGCTGTTCTAGATCCTTTAGCCACTAGAGCAGGGGTGGGCAAACTTTTTGACTCGAGGGCCACAATGGGTTCTTAAACTGGACTGGAGGGCCGGAACAAAAGCATGGATGGAGTGTTTGTGTGAACTAATATACATTCAAAGTAAACATCATTACATAAAAGGGTACGGTCTTTTTTGTTTTTAGTTTTATTCATTTCAAACGGGCCGGATCCGGCCACGGGCCGTAGTTTGCCCACGGCTGCACTAGAGCCTACTGGTTACTTTACATGACTTGAAAAAAAAGTCTCACTTAAACTCCTGGTTTAAGCCTGACTCTGTCTGCAGGAATCAACACAGATAGATCACTGCCTTCTGTGGTTTGTAAATTCTTTTTTTCTTGCCTGTCAGAGTGGCAATGCAAGCACTAAGCTTGGAACATTCAGACAGGCACCCTCCCTCCTTCCTACCTCCCCTTCCATCCCTAACTTAACAACCTATCAATCAAACCACAGGCAAGGGAACAGGCAGGAGCCAGAAGGCTCAATCTTGTTTATTCCTCAACAACACCCCCCCTCCCTATCCCCATCTCTTCAGCTGGCAGGAAGTATAAGGCAGGCGTGTTCAATAACAATTCAGGCAGCAGCAGTTGCTAAGAGCCATCTCTGGACTCTCCTAGAACTCTGGGAAACAGCACAGTGAGCACTGCCAGAGAGAGGTATGGAGCAAAAATGAGATACAATGGAGGGAAATCCACATCCTTGGCTGATAGAAAATTCCCTGTCTTCGCCTAAGATACCTACCTTGATGAAAGAGAAGATCCTGAGGTAACCTGAATATTCAAATCTCCCTCATTAACTAGCGGTACACAAGTGACAATTCAGTGACAATTCTACCCTATACCACAAACTATCATTTATCTTCTCTCCTATTTCCAAGGAGGGGTGAGGGTGGGGGAACCTCTTGTCAAGATACTTTCTAAATATTATGAGTTTTCTTCCTTCATGACAGTTCTCAGCTCAGATTATGTAATTCCTAGATTATATCAAATCATCTGTTTTGGTTCTGTTGGTTGTCCCTACATGGAAGGAACATTCCAAACCAGTTAAGCCATAGGCAAGTCCGTATCTCAGAGAGAAAATTTTAAAAGAAATTTACAGAGACTTAGCTCACAAGCCATTTTACTTATCAAATACTGACTGAACACCTATTATGCCCCAAACTCTGTGGTCCCTGTTTCTTGAAAGCTGCAAGATTCTTAGTCTTCTTTTCCTTCTCCCATTACAAAATCACTCTCTCCCTGCACAGTATTTTCATCTCCTAGCAACGTCCAAACATTTATTTAAATAATATTTCAATGGTCAAAGGCTTTATGCAAAAGCACCCCAGAAACAGACTGTTCAAAGGGGTTGAGGGATTAGGGAAAGGAACTGAGAAACCAGTTCATGCTTATAGTAACATCAAACTGCAAAATAAATGCTCTGCTTCTGAAAGTAATTCCTGGCAATTTTATTTTTCTTCCAAAAACTAAAGCACAGTCTCTCTCCCTTTTCTCTCATTCTACTTCCCCACTCTCAATTGCCTTGGGAGAGAAGGCTTATAATACAGCTACATTATTAAGGGACAAACTTCCCAAGCACCAAGGTGTATTCTTAGCTGAATGCATTGCGTTTTTCAGTCCAATTATAATCTGAAGGGCAGCCTCCCAACTAGTCTCTGCACCTATAAGAGAAAATGTGTTCCATTTGCTTCTCTGTTGGAAATTATCCTGGACATTTAGAATTAAATCCAACATGAAGCTAAGCATCATTAATCCTTTCACACACAAACTAATTCTGGGTTTAGGAGATTGCAGCAATGAGGCCAGAGTTCTAAACAGAAAGGAAAATGAAGGTTACTCTTAGAAGTGTCCACTTTTAAGCACAGGAAGAACAATGATTATATGGCAGGAGTTTACTGCAGCCAGACGTAGGGAACAGTCTAATGGGCCTGGAACAGAAACAAGAACTGGTACTCCTAGGCCTCTTCAAAACAGTATTATCCATCTGCACCCCAGAGAAAATGGTAAATCACAGCCAGCACAGGATGAACCATGCCAATAACCAGCTGGAACTTGACTCTGCTGAGGTGGACTATAGCATCTGCCACCTAAACACAGGCAGCTTCTCTGGCAGCTGCCACTGGTAAAAGGAAATGAACCATTGTGTTATTAGTGGAAAAAAATTCACTGCCCTGTTACCAGGGAAGCCCCGATGTTGCTAAGAGCTACAGATGTGCCAGAGGCAAAGACCAAAATATCTACAGTAAAAAAAGCACAAGCTACCACTGGAATCCAGGCACTGAGAGGGCATTACCACCAAAACATACACATCCACCCTCTATTTATTAACACTTTACATATGGAAATAGGTATTCCCTGTTGCAGCTGATGTAATTACAGAGAAATCAATTTATATGGTATCTGCTGCGATCAGCTGAAAGCACAGGGTGAGCAGAACACAAAGCAGAAAATCAAGAGCCAATGAATGAGCAGCTCATCCCCAGGCCAGCTGCTCAGCAGGTAATTGTAAGCTACTGAAGTTTAAGGCAGCCTGAGCTGACCCTAGCCTCACACCTACTCTGCTCCAGCCCTGCAAGCTCGATATCCTGAGACATGAACTAAGATCATCTTCCCAGAGGAGAGCCCCTCCTAGGGCTGCAGGCACCTGCCCTTGCAAGCCAAACAGAAGGCACGGTATCATCATTACACTGTTTGGCAGCTCCAGGAGACTTTGATTCCTAATAGTTGAGAGAGATACCTGGCCAAGAACTATACCTTTAGTGGCCAAAGAATCTCTTTCAAGGCTAAACTTTCATAGCCACAACACTAAACACTAACTCATAAGGCCTGATTAAGTACCTCATAGTATAGTCAGAACCTCCTTCCCCTTGTTTACCTACCCCACATTGTGCGTGCTCCTTTGCTCTTTGGTAGCCACCAATACAATACCTGGTAGCTATCACACCATGGAACTTATTTTTATTTAACCCTTTTCTTCTCCAGAGACCCAGCAGCACCGTTTGTCCCATTAAGAACAGCACTCAACCGAAAGCCTATTAAATGTATCAACTTATTAAATTTATCAATGATTTTGAGGATGAAACACCATTCAAGCTGGGGATCACATAAAAGTTGATGTCAGCCTTCGACAACAAGTATCTGAGGTGAGACAAAAACAAGGTGGGAGGTTCTCAACTTGACTTATAGAAAATTCATCCTACAAGTAGCTGCCCCAACAACAAATATTCTTCTCCAAAATGTCCAGGCCTGCTGTTAATGAATCTGTAGGGAATCCCCTGGTTTGAAATAAAGCCACATTATCATTACCAGCTGCTCTGACCTTGTAATTGGTCATTACCCACAAACTAATAAGCCTCCCACAGAGTGCACATAGCATTTGGTGGTTAGTCCAGGGCAGCTCTGACTGGCAGTGGGCAGCCAGATCTGGCCACCTCTTACCTTTTCAGACTTGACTTTCTTTAGCAGGCGACACTCATTCTCCCCTTCCTCTGGCTCCGGTTTAGCTCCCAAAGGATTGAGCGCTGCCCCAGGCTCAATAGCTATACTCCCAAGTGGCTCCACAGCTCCTGTATCCACCCCTGCACTTCCATCATATTGACCACCCCGTGCTCCCAAGGGGACTGGCTGGAGGACCCCAGGATCCTTTTCTGAACAAGTCCCCACTCCTTCGCTTCTCTCCTTCTTGCTCTTAGATGAGCTGTTCTCTTTCTCCTTTTTGGAGCCGGCTATACTGCGGGATGCCTTAGCCGCCTTCTCTGAGCCCTTGGAAGCAACCAGGCTTCCTGCATTGGCACCATCTCCTGAGCGTCCCTGCACCTCTTTCTTGCTAGTTGCCCCCTCACTTGGAGTGAACAAGGAAGTCCCTGGAGTGGGTTTGCTAGTGTCTTTGCCACTCTTATTCCTTTTGGATTTTGATTTGCCTTCCTTCCCTTGAGGACCTGGCACTGGGGTCACAAACTTGATGTTGTCTGGTAGTGTGGCCACAGCATTGGGAGCCGGTATCCCCACCTCCTTTGAGCCTGACATTTCCAGTTTCTGCTGGTCCTTTTCCAGATCGGCGTCCAGGTCAATGATGAGATTCCCTACTCCAATGTCCCATTCATCCCCACTGTCGTATGTCTCAACCGGGTTTGCATCCACTCCTTTCCCTCCGGAGGCTCCACTGCTCAAGGACATCTTAGAGTCAACGTCCCACCTCAAGATTCAAGGCTCTTCCTTGCCCCAGCTTTCCTATTTTCAGCTTCAGCTATGTTCTCAGACCTGCCACATTGGTCAGTACATGCCCAGTGGACAACATCATTGCTGGAAAAAGAAAATTTAAAGAACTGTTAAAGGAAACAATACAGGCAAGAAGACAGGCTGAAATAAACTCCCACACATAACAGACCCTTTCCTAGGGGGCTATCACATCATAATGGACAAGACAAACAAGTTCAATTGTACTTCTAACCAAGTCACATTGGACCAGAGAAAAGTAAATTCCCACTCCATCTCCCCAGGGATGAGTACAATATTTCCAATTGCCTGGAGATTCCGTGGTAAGTCTTAACTAGGAATCCTCTAGAGCAGTGGTTCTCAACCTTGGCTGCACATTAGAATCACCTGGGAATCTTTTTTAAATCCTGATTTCTGGGCTTCATCCTCCGGAAATTCTGTTTCTTTGTTATGGGTGGGGCCACAACATTAGTAACAAAGAAACAGAATTTCTGGAGGATCAGGCCCAGAAATCAGGATTTTAAAAAGATTCCCAGGCCGTAACCGGTTTGGCTCAGTGGATAGAGCAGCCGTGGGCAAACTACGGCCCGTGGGCCGGATCCGGCCGTTTGAAATGAATAAAACTAAAAAAAAAAAAAAAAAAAGACCGTACCCTTTTATGTAATGATGTTTACTTTGAATTTATATTAGTTCACACAAACACTCCATCCATGCTTTTGTTCCGGCCCTCCGGTCCAGTTTAAGAACCCATTGTGGCCCTCGAGTCAAAAAAGTTTGCCCACCCCTGGGATAGAGTGTCGGCCTGCGGACTGAAAGGTCCCAGGTTCGATTCCGGTCAAGGACATGTACCTCGGTTGCCGGCACATCTCCAGTAAGGGAGTGTGCAGGAGGCAGCTGAT